TGGGGACTGAGCATGATAGTGGGACAGGAGGAGAATCAAGGGAAATAGAGGAAAGAGCTGGGAGGAAAAGGGCATTTATAGAGGTCTAGATAAAGACATGTACATATGGCTTATTTCTATGATGCTATTTTTAAAATTGTTTAAATTTTTCTCTCTCTTTAGGAAGAGGTATGGTTTCCTACCACGCACACAATGGCCCTGTCAAGTTCCTTGTAATGGCTACCACTTTACAGAAGAAAAACAAAGACGAGTCCAGAGACAGCCTCCCTCCCAATTCTGAAGCCCCGGATGAAGACCAGAGGGACATGCACCCGAGCGAAGGCCTGAGTTCTTGCCTACGTCAGAGCAACCCTGAGGGCGCCGTGTGGTTGGGAGCCTCTCTAGGTTCAATGACTCAAAGAAGCGATTTATCATCATCGTCCGGGTCATTGACTTTATCTCATGGCTCCAGTTCGCTGGAGCACAGGTCAGAGGACAGCATCATTTATGACCTCTTGAAGGATCCAAACATCTCACTGAAAAGTAAAGCACATCAAATCAAGAAAGCGAAAGCCAGTTCCGTGTTGGTGGTGTGTGGAGGACAGGGCCACCGACGGGTCACCAGGAAGGCGAGGCAGCAACGACTCGACGAGCTGGTTTCCTCTGTCATGGTCTGGCAGATCCCCTGCTGCAGCCCTGAGTGATGGGCACCCGTCGGGGCTGGAGATTTAACGCTTTCACTAAGCCATGCGCTGTAAATCTACACTGCTTGGGGACAAGTGAACCACAGTATTCGGGGGAGAAATGTGCAATACCATCATCATGGCATTCCTACCCATGCATTGCTTCTCTCCCATGCGGCAGAGCTGAATGTAAGCCTTTAAAACCAGGTAGAAGATTAATGAGTGCTTTGAACTTCTGGGAAAACACACATTCGTTTTGACTGCTGTAGTCCATGCATAAGTGCTAGGTGTTAGTCTCAAAGGCTATCTTGTATTACATTGCTCAGAGAATTTGAGAACTAAGGTTTTGTGGAGAAAACAGCATATTCAGTAGGGTAGGAATTTATTAACAATTCTTAAAACATTTTTACTTGATTCAGATTCACTACTTTTATTTATATTCTACATTTTAAAATTTCAGAATGAATTTGGAACAATTAAGAAAGCCAGGTAAACATATATCTGCCCAGATGGTATATTTTGTTCTCAGAAATGAAGTGAATTTTCCAAAGTTGTATAATACACATACAGTGTATTTAAGCAAAGTAGTATTTTTATATTACACTTTTAATTAAAAATTAACAACTAATATCTTGGGTAATATCTTACCTCTAAAATTTTTAAAATAATGTTTGCTTTGAACCAAAATGCCCAACACCTAGAAACATTTAGGCCCAAGCATCAATTCCAAAATTTTCTTCTCTTATTAACTAATATTAATATCTGTATTAGAAACGTATATGTTTAAATGTTACAGAAAATCTAGACAAAACCCGCTTTGCTCAATTCTTTTATGTGGTTTCTTACACCAGTTGACTTTGAAACACTGTATCTATTTTCAAATATTCATTGTGAATGGCTCGCGGTGCTAATTAATGTGGCTGTCCTGTTGCTGGCAATGGGATGTGGACCCCAAATACTGACCACTATGTATCTTATAGACTTCCCTTCACAAAATACACAGGTTTGTATGCTGCAGTTCAGCTATTCCATGGTGAGATGTGTGAATAATCAGTGAGCTCCCTTATGTTCGACACATATTTATATATCAATGTCTTGCTTACTGGACAGTTCAAAAAACCCAAAACTAAGGCAGGTATTCAACAGAAATAAATTTCTTAGCACTTTACAGATGATTAAACTTACTAATTTTATGACTTAACCAAATATTTTCTTTTTTTTTTTTTTAGCCAAATATTTTCTGAGGTGCATATATACCCCATGTGAAGGTTATATTGCTACAACCTTTCTTAAACTGTTGGCTGCCATTTTAATTTCATAAATAAAGTCTTTTATTGTAAAATGTAATATTACAAGGTGCCTTTTCCCCCATAAATATAAAAGCATTTCTGGGAGGGACGGGGGCTGCCTGACCGGTCTTCCCAAGTTAGTCATTGCTACTTGCTAGTTTGGGAAGGTTTGTGTATGAATTCCAGAGACCGTTAACATCGATGGACAACAGTGCTTTGAATCTGAAGTACTATGAGGTGTTCAAAAGGAATCATGAATTGAATTAGTTTAATATAAAATATGAAGTATTTGCAGTAGACAAAGATCTGAAACATGTGCACTGATTGAAACAGTATTCCACCTCAGTATTTGTACTGGTCAGGTAAAACCAGAAATACTCTTATATTCCCGTTATATAAACCACAATAACTGAAATATATTTGGATTTTATCAGTAACTAAACAAATTCAGCTTCTAAATATTAGATTTTTTCATAGCACAAAGATAAGTTAAAAAGTATCCATTGAGGTTTTTGTTTTCGTTCTAATGTTGACAATATAATTAGAAAATCTTTATAACAATGCTATATATGTGCCACTTGCATGTCCTTATTGTAGTTTTTAAGATCTTAAACCTTTCAATATACATTTATCACTATAATGAAATTGTACCATCTTTTACTTTATAAAATGTAAACAGACTCATTAGAATTTCCATCCCATGGAGAACTTGTTTATTCTTCATTCTAACGAGAAAGCCCTGGAGCCCTGGTAGGGCAATAGGTTAAGCACCTGCACAAAAATGCTTTCTTTTACAAAGATTAGTGCAAAGCTGGTCCCAATGGAGTAGTGATTAAAGGTGTCCCAAATGTTCAAGTTATCGAAAAGGCTATACCACTCCACTATCCCTGACACATCCGCTCGCATGCAGGCTTCCACATCTCACAGAACTCCGCACTGGCAAGGAGATGGCTCGTGTGCTTGGGGAGGCCGGCGAGTCTCAAACCCAAAGTCCAGGTGTCCATCTTGAGGGTCCTCTTCATTCGCGCCAGTTACACACAAGGCAGCAGAAACAGTTATGAGGTCAGGCGACTCAAGTCCTGCCAGCTCAAGTCCCCCAAACCAGAGGTCAGCTGGGAAGACATCAGATGCAGGAACCAGAGGAAGAGAGTGAACGTTGCCAGAGCTGCCCAAGGCAGCTCCTTCTGTCCTGGGGCAATTCCGACTCACGGTGACCCTACATGGCGGAGTAGAACTGCTCCTATGGGTTTCTGAGACCATAACCATTTATAGGTAGAGAAAGCTGTATCTTTCTCCTGAGTTGAAAAATGTCCAAAAGGTAAAGATTTCACTTGCTTAGCCTGGCAAAGGAGCATGCAGGGATTCACATGAAAATGGTTATCCGAGTCTTGGATTGATAACTGGCATCTGATTGGTGTTCTACACCAGTAACTCAGCACTAGTCCTGCCCCTGCTCAGTTGGGAAGGGGGGGAGGGGGTGTCACAAAGATGGTGTCCCGCCCATGTGTAGGCTTTGATGGCAATGTGGATTTTACCATCTGATGTCAAAGAGGGAGGAGAGCACATACTGATCACTTCGGTGCATGTTCGGCAAGCTGGCTCGAGTCTCAGCCACTTAAATGACCCCAGACTCCTGCTTTTGTTTAATCAGGCAGCTGAGAGCTTGCCTGTTAAGGGAACCATTGAAAACATTAAGATAATTCTTATCTTAATGCAGACTATAATCCCAGATGTCCCAGCTAGAATTGTAATACATCACAGAATTGAGGACTGCAGTGAAGGGGCCATATTAAGTAATTAAATACATCGAAGTCAGAATCCTAACCTCAAGGTCAGTGGTTTAAACCCACCAGCCGATCCACAGGAGAAAGGAGTTCGTTTTCTCTGATAACGACAGGCAGTGCAGAAGCCATATGAAGCAGTTCTCTACAGGGTTTCTGTGAATCAGAATCTCCTTAATGGTTGTGGGGTATTTTGAGTTTCAAGCGAAAATACATGTAAAGAGCAGTTTGTAAATCCATAAATTGTCAAAAAAAACATACTATATATGCTGTTGTTTGGTGTTATGAAGACAGTTGTAACCTGTAACAATGCTCTGGACACCAGAAGGAAACACTGTCCAGTCCTGCGCCACCCGCAGTTTGTCCTGTGCTTGAGCTCGTTGCTGCAGCCGCTGTGCCAATGCCTGGATCGAGAGGCTTCTCTCCCGCCCCACTGTGTGAAGCAGGATGTGCTTGCCCAGGGACTGATCTCCTGATCACGTGCCCAAAGTACATGAGACGAAGTCTTGCCATCCCTGCTTCAAAGGAGCATTCTAAGATTTGTTTGTTCTTTTGGCAGTGAGTGTCACTATTCTTCACCAGCATCTCTTAATTCAAATACCGTGATTCTTCTCCAATATTCCTTATTCAGTACCCAATTTAGCGTGCGTGTGAGGCAATTGAAAATACCATGGCTTGGTAGCAGGCCCACCATGGTCTTCAAAGTAACATCTTTGCTTTTCAACACCTTAAAGAGGCCTTGTGCAGCAGCTTTATCTATTTAATAAATACATCTTTTGATCTATTGACTGCTGCTTCTATGAGCATTGATTATGGATCCAAACAAGACAAAATCCTTGACAACTTCAATCTTTTCTCCATTTATCATAATGTTACCCAGTGGTCCAGTCCTGAGGATTTTACCGTTATTTACATTGATTTGTAATCCATGCTGAAGGCTACCATCCTTGTTCTTCATTAACAAGAACTTCAAGTCCTTCTCATTTTCAGCAAGTAAAGTTGTTACATGTACACATTAGAGGTGGGTAACCAGGCTTCCGGCACCCTGATGTCACAGTTGTCTTCTCTGATGATTGGCTCAGCATACAGATTGAACAAGTACAGTGAGAGGATCCAAACCTGTTGTACATCTTGCTTGATTTTTAAAAAAATAATCATTTTATTGGGGGCTTGTACACCTCTTATCACAATCCATACATCCATCCATTGTATGTCAAGCACATTTGTACATTTGTTGCCATCAACATTCTCAAAACATTTGCTTTCTACTTGAGCCCTTGGTAACAGCTCCTCATTTTTTCCCTTCCTCCCTGCTCCCCTCTCCCTCATATACCCTTGATAACGTATAAGTTATTAATTTGTCATGTCTTACACTGTCCGATGTCTCCCTTCACCCACTTTTCTGTTGTCCAGCCCCCAGGGAGGAGAATATATGTAGATCCTTATAATTGGCTCCCCCTTTCTACCCCACCTTCTCTCCACCCTCCTGGTATCGCTACTCTCACCACTGGTTCTGAAGGGATCATCTGCCCTGGATTCCCTGTGTTTCCAGTTCCTATCTGTACCAGTGTACATCCTCTGGTCTAGCCAGATTTGTAAGGTAGAATTGGGATCATGATAGTGGGGGTGGGGGGAGCATATAGGAACTAGAGGAAAGTTGTATGTTTCATCATTGCTACACTGCTCCCTGTCTCCTCCCGTGACCCTTCTGTAAGGGGATGTCCAGTTGCCTACAGATGGGCTTTGGGTCCCCATTCACTCCCCCTCCTTCACAGTGGCATGATATTTTATTCTTTGATGCTTGGTAGCTAATCCCATCGACACCTCGTGATCACATAGGCTGGTGTGCTTCTTCCATGTGGGCTTTGTTGCTTCTGAGCTAGATGGCTGCTTCTTTACTTTCAAGCTTTTAAGACCCCAGACACTATATCTTTTGATAGCCAGGCACCATCAGCTTGACCATGCAATAGTCCCTTGTTCTGTTCACACAACTGCCTTTTGATCCATATACCAGTTCCTCATTAGCACAATTAAGTATTCTGGAATTCTCATTCTTCTCAAGGTTATCCATAGGTTGTTATGATCCACACAGTTGAATGCCTTGGTGTAGTCAATGAAACACAAGTACACATCTTTCTGGTATTTTCTGCTTTCAGCCAAGGTCCATCTGATATCAGCAATAATATCCCTTGTTCCATGTTCTCTTCTGAATCCTATCTGAATCTCTGACAGCTCCCTTAAATTTACTACTGCAAAACATTGTTGGATGATCTTCAGCAAAATTTTATTTGCATGTGATATGATATTGTTTTATAATTTTGGCTCACCTGTCTTTGGAATTGATACAAATACAGATTTCTTCCCACCGTTGGCCAAGTAGCTCTTTTCCAAATTTCTTTGACCTAGATGTGTGAGTGCTTCCAGTGCTTCACCGTCTTGCTGAAACATTTTAATTGGCAGTCCATCAGTTCCTGGAGCCTTGGTTTCAGCTAATGCCTTAAGTGCAGCCTGGACTTCCTCCCTCAGCATCATTGGCTCTTGTTGATATGCTACCTCCTGAAATAGTGTAATGTCAACCATTTATTATTGATGTAATGACTCTGTGTATTCTTTCCACCTTCTTCTGATGTTTCCTTCATCATAATATTTTGTTCATAGAATCTTTTAGTACTGCAACTCAAGGCATGATTTTTTTCCCCTTTAGTTCTTTCCATTTATGCTGAGTGTGTTCTTCCCTCTTTGGTTTTCTAACTCGAGGTCTTTGCACATTTCGTTATAATATTATACTTTGTCTTCCTGAGCTGCCGTTTGAAATTTTCTGTTGAGTCCTTGACTTCATCATTTCTTCCATTTGTCTTAACTACTCTATGATTCAGAGCAAGTTTCAGAATCTCTTCCAACATCCATTTTGATTCTTTTTTCTTGTCATCGTAATGACATTTTGCTTTTTGTGTGATGGTCTTGATGTCATCCCACAGCTCATCAGGTCTGTTTAATGTTTAATGTTCAAATTAGCGTTTATGTTCATTAGTGTCATTAGTGTTTAATGTTCAAATCTGTTCTTAAAATTGTTCTTAAAATCAGGTAGCGTACACCCAAGCTTGTATTGTGACTCTGGTGGATGTGTTTTCTTTTCTTCAGCTTCAATGTGAATGGGCATATGAGCAATTGACATTCTGTTCCACAGTTAGCACCTGGCCTGGTTTTAGATACTGATAATCGAGCTTCTCCACCATCTCTTCCAACAACTGTAGTCCATTCGATTCCTGTTGAGAAA